AAAATGAAGTTGATTGGTTTAAATACAACTAACGAGTAAATACACTGACATTTTTAAAATATTTTTATAAGTTCTAGAATCTACTTTCTCAAAGTAAACGTTGAATTATGACTCTATAAATAATTTTTTTGATCAACAACTAAAGCAGATGAACTATGGCATTATTTCCATTTTGTATATCAAGATTAATATCTCAGTATTTTTTTGTTATGAAATATATCTTTGATTTTTAAATATTGTGATATTGATTAATACACATTGATACTTCATGTAAATAATAAACATGTAGATTTATAGGCATACAAACGTCTAAAATACTTAGTATTTGTAATCGATCTCGTTTAATGTGAAATGCTTTAAATGCAACCGCAATATTCACGAAATTCGAGGGACAAGTTCAATGGATTTCCGAGTATCCATCAAACCAGTCAGAAACATTTCCCGACGATCCGAATGCGCGTGTTTCGCGAAAGCCCAATGAATCCCATCCACATCTATATGAGTTTGTTAGTTCCATGGCGTCGTTAGAATGCGTTAGCATGTAATAACATATTTGCCACTCTTGGAGCTTTATGTTCCGGCGATGTGTATTAATCGAGTCGCGAGGAGCTAAAGAGGAGCAAAGGGGGCAAACGGCCGTTGCTGTAACTCCACTAAGTGCGTTTTCTAAATTTATGTCCTGAGCCCAGTCGAATGTACGTTTTCCATTTTGCATTCGCGCCTCGCCAGAGGCAAGCCACTCATTTCATTACATTTCATCTTTCGTTTTCTGCCTTTTTTTCCTCTTTTCACTTTTCGTTATATCTCTTCAATTTCCTAAAAACATTTCACCGAGTTTGCGAAGTTATTAATATTGGCCAGCAGCGCCATCAAACATCGCCGCCGATGGTGCTGTTTGGTGTTTACGCCAACTCGTAAAGTCTGCAGGAAGAGGAAACCACTAGGGGAAAAATTAAATTGAGCGGCGAAGAATTCCAATGATAAATGGAGAAAGATTGGTAGAACCGGGAGTATCTGATATTACCATCAGTTGCAATTCGACTCCTATTTGTAAATCTACTTTTTTGGACATTACATTTCTAATTACATTATTTAAAAGATTATTTGTATAATCTAACAGCTTTTACAAAACAATGTAATAAATAAGTATCTTATAAACAAGCGCGGCGCGTATTTTTCTTGTATCTATGAAAAATGTTTAGTTTCAGTAAAAAGTTCATTTAACATTCATTTATTTAAATTTATTTATGTATTAATATGTAAGGAACATTCATTTTTTCAAATTCCTCCCGTTGTTCGTATTGTATTATCTACTTTTCAATTGAAATAATTACCAAAGAATTCAAATTTTCCTGGTTCATGTTTGATCATAGGTAATTTTTAATTATTGTTTAATTTACAAAAGGTTGTCTCACTCTTAGCAACTGAAACAAGTAAAGTCAATAGAACTCTCAATACAATCAATGCATTTTGGCAAAGTTCTTTCTCTTCAATGTCTTTATTTTCATTGTAACTTAATGTTTTATTTAACAATTTACTTTTCGTCTTACATAGTATTTAATAAAATTTGCTTTAAAACATTTTTTTCATTTATTAATTTTCTAGCAAATTCATTAATTCTAAAAATCATAATATTCATTTATGCCCTTATTTCTAGAGAGTCTTTATCGATTAAAATTACATCACTTTGTTTATTCACACTTGCATGATAATATACTTTAATATTGAGAGTAGTTTCAGATCCACCAATTGTTTTAGCAAAATTGATTTTTGCCCATCTTGCCCACTATTTAGAGTTGGATTACTAAATTGAACTGTTCAGACTATTGTCGATTTTGTTTGTTTTCTTTTTCAATTGAAGTCCATATTATCTCTATTTTTTGACGAACAAACAAACAGAAAACAATAAACTAATCATAAAAATCTGAGCGACAATATACAAGTAAGTATACACTCAGTCCATTTGAAACAATTGAAAATATATGAAATTTATATCAATTGTATGCAGTGAAGGGTAATCCCAACTGTACTAAAATTTGTGAACATTTTGAATATTCTATAAATACTTATTTTGACTAGTATCAGGTGTCGATAAGGCCGAAAAATAATATAAATACCCATTTATTTTAAACGCCTTTTATCACGACACTCGTGTATTTCGTACACACTATCCGCCGGACGCTGCTTATATCTCATTGAAAGTATGAATACAATAAGATACACCTTACTTCAATTGCAACAATGTTTACGTTAGTTGTTTCTTTTTTTCTTAATTATGTGTTAAATTTTATTGTTGTTGCAAAAAATATAAAATAATCCAGCTACGTTTTATAAGTTCTATACTTATTATAATATGGTATATATATTACATTTTACATTATATATTTTTGGTATTAAGTATCTATAAAGTTATTCATTTGTATCATTTTGGCTTTTCTTATGAAATAATATAAATTTTCCACTTGATTTTTATAGTTTTGTCTTCTTTTATTCATAATATATTAAAATATTTATATTTTAGATGTCTTCTAAGAACGTACGATTAAATAAAATAAAATTTGTATTTAATTGAGTTGACGTTCAGATGGCGACACAAACAATGATTTAGAATATGTGGCAATATATTTTAGTAAACAAAATGTGAAAACAAGTTTATGAAATGTTTAACGTAGTAGCCTACAGCTCTTTAGATATGTCCTTATTACACATATAACTATTTCAAATATATACTATATTATTAGGTAATATGTTACAATTTCTATTTCGAAACGTAAATGTTACTGATTCAATAAAATTAATAAACAAGTTCATACTTGTAACTGTAATAATATATTAATACTTAGCAGTTTATTTTACATATATTTAATGAAATATACGTTTTCCTTATTACACTTAAAAATAAACTTTATTTTACATTATTTCGTTTGATTAAACTTTTGTAAAGAATTGAAATTAATGAATTTGTTTTGAATTCACTTGATTATGTAGTTCTGTCATATGTTACCTCCTTAGCCTGCTATGCAGGGAGTGTTGCATACAAATAATCATCATTTAGTATTCAAGTATAGTCGATTTGCAGAGAAAATCCGATACGAACGTGTAAATTACATCTAATAGAAAAAAATCTAATGAAGTGAGGGTCGATAACCAGCAATTGGTATCAAAAATATAACCGCAATCATTAACAAAAAGTACAGAAAATATTAAAAGCTATTAAAAGCATTCAATACACGAATTTTGTTTATATATTAAATTGATAAGTTTTTTTGAATATTATTTTTTTCTAAAATGTACTGAGCATTGACCAATTAGTACAGATGACTTAAAGGAATGACTCGAAAGCTCTTTGACATTTGTTCCACTTGACTAAGAATCAGTAGTTTGGAAGCTTCTAGGGACCAAAGGATCCCCGATTAAAATCAGTGGAATAACAATCGCAAAGGATATGTTGTAATGGTGAGTGTTCAAACATATGTTTATTGAATGAAAATTGGGACACACAATTCGAATAATAATTTCCACTTAACAGATATACAGGAACACAAATCCACTCAGTACCGAACAGTTCACGCAAAATCCAGAGGATTCGCGAAAACCGCTCGCATATATAATCCCATTAGTTCCCATTTCAGTCAAATTGTGGTGAATGTATTACGTTTATATCATTAAATGATTTATGTTTACATTAGTTTCTTTTTTCACGTTTATTATTGTATGTTTATTATAAAGAATGATGCATGATTTGTTATTTTTTTTAATTCAATTACCCGTAATCGTTTCATATATTTGTTGTTTTGCGTTTGGGGATAGTTTAGTTCATTTTTTCTCTCTCTTATTTTTTTTTCTTTAAAAAAAGGGATCTTCAAGTTTCTCGTTTTTTCTTTTATTTAACCTCCGATTGCTTTTATTTATCAATTTCATTTTATTTTCATGTTTCTTTTATTAATAAATCTTTAGTATATATTTTTTTATTAAGTATATAAAACAACATATTTATTCATATTTTTTTTTGTGTTTTTAATTATTTATCAACATCACTTCTTTATTTTATTTATTTTTTTTCTTCTTTACAAACCACTAAATTCCATCTTTTTTCTGCATACCGTTTCCTTTGTTTTGTATGTTGACCTCGCATTAAGTTTCATATATATATATAATCATTTCTTTTAAATTTTTGGAGTGGGATGTTAATGGTAAATGTTACAAAAAATGTCCTCTTTGTCCAAGGTCTCTTCTCATCCGTCCAACAATTCCACGATCTTCATCATCATTATCCTTACAAGATTTAGTAAATTGTACCTAATGTGCGCGTAATAAGTTTTACATTGAAAGTCCCTTTGGGTTATACAATATCATTTATATAAAAATTGGAAGAAAATAGCCGGAAGAAACATTTCTTCGGCGAACGCCCGCGTTATCTCCACGAATTTCACAATAACAAATTTAATATGTCGGCACGAACGAATACAGAAAACATTTATTTAAAGACCGTGTAAATAAGAACTTATAGAATCGATAATCAATGTTATGAATAGTATATAAAATAAGATTCTGAAGTAAATTATTATGTGAAAACGCGTGCGTTCATTAAGTTTTTGGCATCCGGAATCCTTCACAGACATTTAAACAAATATATTAGGTCTCCAATGTATAATATATATATCCATTTCATCGTTCCATCCATCCTCGTAGTCCTGCATTCCGTCTCCAGCGATCGACGTCCAAAGTGAATCATCGACAGTTCAATTGTTTAGATTATAAAATGTTTTTTTTTCCTTTTTTGTTTTAAATACGAGTTAGCACCTATAATTCCTTTACACCAAGATTACACATCCTATTTTATATAATTTGTTATAATATATAATATAATCTTAATAATAATATATTATATATATATAAGACTTCCACTTATCTTATTTTGTTTATGGTTTATTTCCAGTTACATTAATTATTTTTTTGTTTCGGTTTTGTTTACGTCTTCGTCGTAATAATAATAATAATAATCTCTTGTATTCTCCATTATTTGTTTGTATTTTCTGGAAATTAATTATTTCTCTTTGGATATGCTGATAAATAATCTTGTTTAATTAACAAAACAGTGACGTTACCTTCGACGCATCACCTCAACACACACACATCCTGATTTTATAATTAATTCATCCATTTTTACAGAACGGGAATGCAATACGAAACGTAAATAATATTTACATACGAAAAAACAAAAACAATTGGTATGTAATTAACATCGAGATGATATAAAGATTGTCAAATATTCTCTCTTCTCCGTCTTCCTGTTACCTGTACAAATTGAAGCTGCTCTTTCTCGTTTAATTCTTAAATTCTCTTTCATTTTTTATTTTTTTTCTTTGGTCGCTTTAGTTGTAGTTTTTTTTTTCTGGTTTTATTTTGCTTCTTCAATTATTATTGCTTTTAAAGTAACTTTTCACTTTCTCTCTTATTATTTTCTTTTTTTCTTTTGCTAGACACTGAGGCGCTACAAAGCTCCAGACCAGATTTGTACAGCGTTATATATGTATATTTATATATATATATTTTACTTAATTTCTGGGTTGTTTTCATTTTGGTCTTGCCACGACAATTAGGACTAAAAATACTAACACACAGCCTCTATATATTTTCATGTATTTTTTTTGTTAAATAAATATTATTTTCTGTTCCTCCTTCAATCTTTCTTTTCTTTGCCGAACGAAGGGGATCTTTCGAGCATCGCACCTTCGTTCTTGAGCGGTAAAATTGTAGAAAAACTTTTTCAACTTTGTTTCCGTCTTGATGCAGATTCATCATCAGTTAGTATAGTAGCCTCTGTTGCTCTTGTTGCGACTGTTCCATTTGCACTTGAGGATCCGCAGGTATGTTCTGCGGAAACTAGCGTTGCAAAGGGCATAGCACATCGGGTTTATTGTTGAGTTAATGTAGCATAGATAGTAGAAGAAGTCCCAGAGTTGCGGAGGAATCTTGTTGCTGGCCGTGACTGGCTTGAGGAGAACGAGGATGTTGTACGGGGTCCAGGTTATTATGAATGTGAGCAGAATGGCGGAGAGCGTTTTCGCTGCTTTCCTGTCCTGCTTCTTCTCCTGAGTTTTCTTCTTCTTCTTGCCCTGGTTCTTGGTCGCGTTCGCAAGCAACGTTTTCCCGGGCACCTGCTTGGGGATGATCTTCGCGTTCAACGGGATTCTGATGTCGGGCATCGCGGATGGCCTCCTGTTCAGATGGTTCGAGTTAGCCGAGGACAGATAGTCCTCGGTGTGCGGCCTGGGTGCAGGTTTAAGCGCGTCCTCTGGTATCATCTTGATGGAGGGTGCTTCTGTGCAACTGGGACCGTCGTTCGATTCTCCGGGCAGTCGGATTAAGATAGTGTAAACGCTGTCGTTCGAACACGACCTACCCCCAAGTTTATTCGTCACTGGCAAGCTTCGCGTATCCCTGGGCCCCATCCTAATTGGGGTCATATTCATTTGGCCCTGCTGTCCCACCGCATACGAATCCCTGAAAATAATAATAATAAAACATAGCTCTTTCTATTATATAATGTATAATTGAGCGCTACCTTATGACATTCAACGAGGTGCAACGCGAAACGGAGCTCTGCAATGGTGTGTCCAGCGAAATGGGAGTGATGCAGCCCTGACCCTGTTCACTGGGACTTTCTTCCTCGGTATCGCTGTCTTCCCTCCCCGAATGCCACCACGCTACGCACCACGTTCTTATTCTGTTTATACCCGAAAACCACCCACGACGATGATAATGCGCTGAAATTTTTGCTAAAACACACTAACAACCACTGTCAGTCGAATTCAGAATTTACGTTTATCAGAATAAAAATATAGCATACGTAACTAATCTACTAACTTTAACTAACTTTAACCAACTTCAATATCACTTGACGGTGATAAACATATATATATCGCTACATATGTAGAATTCCTAATCCGTATAAATCGGTGGTTTTCAAAATTTGAATATTTTTTCACTTTAGTTCCGATAAAATTAAGGCAAAATATTACTAACTTCTGAACATAAAATAATAACTTCTTAAGCTCTATTATAAAACTTATTTCATCAGTCAACTTAACGTCCAGATAACATATTTTTGTTATTATGTGGTGCACATTCTCTATAATGGTTAAGTTACGATAGTTGTTTAACCTAGTTGCCTGTTTCCAAAATTGGAAACTTTCCTGTGTAATATGGGGGAAATATATAGAATATTCTAATCTAAAGATTAAAATCAACTATTTTAATACATATAAAATAATGAATCATTGATTTTGCTGCAACATTTGAATTGGAAATGTTATTTAGTTAATACTTTATCAACAGGTTTTTATATTATAATTTCTTCCGAATGTACTGAGCATACCTAGTACTTCAAAATTTAATTTATTTAAATTTAAATAAATCCAATTAACGAACTTATGATTAGACTTTGATATTGCGTGCTACACCGCCATTCAGATCAATAGCTTTTTATGAGGGAAATCTTCTTAAAAAAAATCAGTTATAGTAAATATTATAAACGAAATACTAAATTTAGTGGGATATTTGATTAAAAATCAATTAGAATGATTGATAATCAATAAACATATAATAAGACTTTTGTTACAGACGTGTTAGTAAAACACAATAAAGTTTAATTTTAGGAAAATATACGTTACATAAATTCCATTTGTAGACAAATATTTTATGCAACAGGTCATGTATATAATATAAATAGAACCGACATTTCTTTTTACCCTCTTTTGAATGGAAAACTTGTTGAGCGGCAAATTGGAAAATTAAATGTAACATAGTAAGGGATTACTATTACTGTATCTACGGAAGCAATTATTTAAGTAATAAACGAATTAATGGTTGAAATCAGATTTATTGAGTTCAATGCGAATTTTGATTGAGTCGAATCATTTCTATTACTGTTTTAATTTCCACCCCTAATATAGATTGAAGTGTAATGAATGTAGGAGAAGATGCAATTAGGAACAGTCTCCATCATCGAAACCCAACCGAGTTATGCAATACCAGATCCACCCTCATCGTGTAAAACTTCCGCCGATATTCAACAATTATATTACAAATATAACTAACTTTTACATTTGAAGAAATGGAAAATATCCAAGGTGAAAAAAAAGAAAAATAAATGCAGAAGCAAATGAAATTAGTTCAAGCAGCAACTGGGCGTTGTCTTGATCAGCACTGTACTAAACTTTAGCTTCGGATCTAAACTTTAAAACTACATTTAATGCGGAAACTTCGGCGCATGCAATATCCTTCGGATTCATTAAACTTGTGGCTGTCTTTCGTGCAGGTACGAGCGTAGGCAACGATTTCAGAAAAAGGACCGCAACTTCGCCCGACGGCTTTAATTAATTTCGGCCCGCAAATCTGATCTGGCCGCAAATCCGAATCCTAAGACAAACAGCACACACGATACCGGCTCCGAACTGGCAGACAGGCGGCGCGGGTGGTGGGTTTTTAATTAATCCCGGACCGGTGTGACACGCTCGGAGATGTTCTCTTCGGCAAATAGAAAACTCGATTGAAACTTTTCAAAGTCAATTAAAATCGGCATATTTTCGTATAAATTACTAACGTCGACTCGATAACCTTCATTCAAATGCCAGCCAATAAAAATTTATATACTTGGAAATATTTTGATTTTCTAAGATATAATATCAGAACCAGCAGATTTTCATATAAATTACGAACGCCAACTCGATCATTCAAATGCACCAGCCATATTCCTAAGATAAACGTCAAAATATATAAGTGTTAAAAAAGTATTAATAGTCCAAATTGTTGGTAATAATTTGCAGAAATATGTATTTTTGTGGCTTAAGTTTGGTTTTGATTGAATTTGTGGTGGCACTAAGATTTTAATTTTGATTTATATGAGAAACATGAATCAAATTCAAGCTGTGGTTGCCTTTCAAACAACTCTTCATTTCTCAAACCATGTCATTTAATTCACGAAACTTCTTCCCTTTCTTATAAACTGTATGATTAAATTCTACGCCGAGAGCAGCAAGGACAAAAAAATATATATTAAACATAGATTGGTCCTTTGTGAATTGCGTGATAACCGGAATCTCAAAGATATTTCTCTCTCTCTCTCTCAAAAAAAAAAATTTTCTTTTCATTTCACACACCCATTTTATGTTACTTATTACCAAATTTATTGTCGGCTACCGAACGGAAGTTTAACTCTATATTTTATTATACTTAATCCAATGGATTTCTAGGATTGTTTTCTCCCGTTCATACATTTTCTTCTTATTTTTTTTTTGTTGCCGTCCTGCATGCATGCATCGGAAATTGAATGAGAAAGAGAAGGACAAATGGGGAGAAAAATAGTGTTCGAATGCGATTTATAAAGAAGAAAGATGAGGAGGTGAAGGGGAGGAGAAGAACAGAGATACAGGAGGGCGTCGCGACTCGATAAAACGGGTGAACGGAGACGACGGATCGGATCGATACTGCGTGCGCCAGACGCTCGGATTTCGCGTGTATTCATTCATCTTTAATGCCATTGGAAATGAAGACGCATAACGACATTAAAGGACCAAACGAGAAGCGCTTATTGATGTTGGTTTCTGGTTGTTTAACTCACAGTTCGCCGCCTTTGGTGCTCCACACAGACCGAGCTGTGCATGTAAACAGAGTCGTTGTCCGCCCCCGTCGAGGACTCGGATCGGGGCCTCTTCCAGTCCTCTAAGTCCACCGTCGAACACGCGTTGTTGGCCTCGTCACTGCACACAAACATACTATTCGAGAATTTTAATAAAAGCCTCCCAAATGAATTTATTTTATTTGTTTTTTTTTCACTTTCCTACTAAAACCCAATGGATAAATGTTATGTACAATGCTTTGATGATTTTTTTATTATTATCTTAGTGTCTCTGCAGTATTTAAAATGAATGATGAATCTTTGGATAATATAAAATACCAATATTAATAATAAGATAATTCTTGCAATTTAGCCGTGGCACACGACCACGAACAATTTGCATATGAAAAAGTCTCTTCCAGTCATCTCGACTCGTGAAACTGTTGGAATTACGTCCCGCATTTGCATGGATATTAGTTAGCTGGATGTAGGTAGGGAAAATGAATGCGAGTGAAGTACCTGGAGTTGCTCCTCTTGCTGCTATCCTTCTTGCCGGCCTGCAGATTCGGTAAATCTTTTTGCCTCTTTTCTGTCTCACGCCAGATCCGCCAGTAGAGGACACACATTACGGTGACAGGCACATAGAAGGCGGCGATTGCAGTCCCGAAGGTAATATAGTGGTTGGTTTCGATGAACTGGATGTAACATTCCTTATCCGGAACCGTCCGCTGGCCCTCGATGTAAGGCCAACTGTAGATCCAGGGTGGCCATAGCAAAAGACTTGTGCCCCACGCTCCACTGCAAAAGTTTCAATTGTTTATCAAACATTCAATGGTATATATATATCAAGAGTCTGTATTTCACTTGTCTCGAGTGCCAAAATCGATGTTAAGTACGAATTTAATGAAAATGCATTAAATTTGCACAATATTTTTGCATTCTATATAACAAATTATACACTAATGAGATTTTCGTGATAAAAAATAAAAGAAAAGTAAGTAGTAGCCACAAAAAGCAATGTTGCATAACGAATTAGACGTGTTCTGAAGCTCTCCTGTCAGTTTCATGAAATATATGAAAGTTTATACATATACAAAAACTTTGTAAATATCACCGGAACAAACTTTTTTTAGTTTAGTTACAAACAAATATATAAAAATGCAAACTATCTAAAATAAAATTCAGTCAATAATTATAACTTATGTTTTCAAAGGTAATAAATATATAAGATAAGTAAATAAAAATAATATTAATTTCAACAGCTATAAAATTAATGTATGAAAAATTATGTAAATTTTCAGGAAGAAAGACATATTAAAGTTTTTGTATTAAATAATGAAAAAAAAAAGAGGTTTTTCTTCTTGAAAAGAAAATCTACATAAAAACTTTTAATTTATTTTTCTAATTTCTCTAAAAAAATTTTTTTTTTAATTGATAATCCAATTATTTTTGTTTCAGTCTATTTTTAAAGTGTTTATTGCAATAGATTGACAATAAATATAAATAAATTTAACAAAATCTATGTACTTTTATAATTTTAGTGTCAAAAAATAAATTATCTTCAAGAAAAATTAAATGTATATATTTTAGAAAGCGGGAGAAAAATGTATATTCTGATTATAACAAGGATAAGTAGATTTCTATTAACTACTTAGAGGTGCTTTGTCCATAATATTACATATTTTCAAAATTAACATAATTTCAGTTGTGAATTACCTTTATTTTATTCTCAATAATAGTATAGAATAAAAACTTCAAATTAATTTTAAATTATTCACCACATATTGTATATAAAAACAATATATGTGGTATTCTATAATAACACGAAAAACTTATCATCAATTGTAAAGTATTGTAAGTTTATTTGAGTATATATGAATATTTTTTGTTAAACTAACTTCTTTAATACAAATACGTAAACCAAAATAAAATTTGGAAGATATTAGATATTCCCATCTCAAAATATAAACTTTTTATTACATTTGAAAATCCAAATTTCGTTAAACCTTTCAGTTAATCGACCCATACGACTCATTTAATCTTATTTATATAATTCCCGTAAATTTATATGAATTCCCCCCTCTTGTTAATATAATTGATTCCATACACGTTTGTAATGCTATAAAAACGTTACCAAGAGTATTTCTCTCTAATTTATTAAATGCATCTTGAACACATTTAATCAATTCATCAATTGTATTTGGCGAAGCTTCATGTTGTAGTTATTGAATAGAGTTTAAAAAAAAACAAATGGAGAATATTTAAATTGGTGGTGGTTATGACTTAAATTGAATATTCCAACCATCAGTACAAAAGTGTTCTAATTTTTCTTTATATACTTAATAATTGTTGCAAGAAACCATAAAGTTGTTCATTACTCAATTACTTCGATTTGGCATCTCTTTTTTTTAAATTCACGTTATTTGAGTTAAAATTTTCTATTTTGAAATTACAGCGGTGACTATTATATTTTTATAATTTTTGGTCTTCAAATTTCAACTTAACTCAATATGATGGTATTGCCAGTGGGTTTTGAAACTCTAGATAATCATTCTTTCAAATGTATACTATATTTTCGGACAGAGGGATAACAAAGATTATATGTTATGAAACAACATTTTTTTTTAAATATTGACTTTAATTGTTATAGTTGTTTGAATTTTGTATGGAATATGTTATATTTTGTTATTATTATATAGATTGGATATATTCCATTTCAAAAAGATAAACAAATCTAGTATAGTTCAAAACAATAATTCTCATAATATCTGGTCAAAGAGCTCTCAGGTGCAAATAATTATAGAAAAAATGTATTTAAAGAGAAAAAAAATACTAGAGAAAAAGTCACAAAATTAATTAACGCATCAGTCCAAATTCGTTAAGCTAACAACAGTACCGACTTTCGCTATAACATATAACAACACATAATTAATTATGAAAGTACAGAGCATGGGCAAGATTATTATATGAGTCTTTTTGAAATAAATATTATTTATATGCATTGTTGATAAATAAAATAAATATTGTTAGCCAAATTTTTTTGCTAACCCAATATATAATTACTATTAAGTTAACTATATATTTCTTAAATGCACTATCAACAAAAATAAAGTTGAAACAATACTCGTAGTTTGAAAATTTAGAAAGAACATAAATTTAAATTCAGCAAAAGAAAAATAAATAAAAAAAGTAGTAAACAAAGTTATTGTTTATACATAAATAATCGATTTTTTACATTATTCGGTTTATGTATTTAGTTTGATTAGTACGGTATCAAACAATCTGAGATATTGGAGAAAACGATTACCCGCACTATGTGAGGTATTGCTATATAATTTCAATACTAACATGTACATTTATTTTGCAGTTATTATTACCTTTATTAAGGAAATTAGTAACGAAGGCTTACCCAATCATGATTGCCGCTTTACTAGTGCTTCTCTTGGCCCTGTAGGTGAGCGGTCTAGTGACTGAGAAGTAACGGTCGAAACTGATGATGAGCAGATTGAGAACGGAAGCGTTGCTGGCCAGATAATCGAGAGCGAGCCACGTGTCGCACACTATGGGACCGAGCGGCCAGAATCCTAGGAGGGTGTAGACGGTGAAGAGGGGCATGGAGATGAGGCCGATGGCAAAGTCGGCGATGGCCAGGGAGAAGAGGAAGTAGTTGCTGATCGTCTGCAGCTGCTTGTCGATCTTGAACGAGATCATGACCATGATGTTCCCAACTACGGTTACCACGGAGAGTATGCAAGCGACGGCTCCGATCAGAACCACCTCGGTTATGCTGTACGTAGGCTCGGGTATGGTCACGTTCGACGTCGACTCGTTCATCTTGTCACGAAGACGAAGACGACGACGAATCGCTGCTCTCTTCGGCTGCTGCTTCTGCTTCTACTTCTGTTGCCGTTACCTGCATCTCCCACCACTCCCACTGTCAACAACAAACAAATAAAGCAAAGAAAGGAATTAAAACCCAGCGCATCCACCATAACTACCACTAGGCTCGAGAGACGCACTCCACTCGTCCTAACAAAGTCTTTAAATACTTTACTTACTCAAGAGTGAAACAAGAAAAAACAACAAAACATAGAAGGATAAAGCAAAACGAAAACGAGAGAATATAATAATTTTCTTATTGCACACTCTAGGCCTAATCTCATCCGTTTGCTTTATACCATTGTTCTCGCGTGTTCAAGAGCTCACTTGGATCCTTGTCTCGAGTACACTCTTTCAGCAGATAGTATTTGCTTTGGTTCAGCTTTTCCACATATTTATAAATTCACAAAGCTCATTTCCATTTGCATCACGCCAGATATTTCAAAACTTTTTATTAATTAAAAATTTAAAACAAATCGTATAATTAATACAGAAAGTTTTTAATTAGATCTAATATTTTATTATTTTACATATGCTATATGCGAAGATTTCGTAGCGGACGAATTAACCCAATTATTTGTAAACGAAACTGCATACCGGATAGATGTATTAAACTTGATCAACCATTGCAAGAAAATGTGAGTCATACCAATTTAGTAATTCCACCTAAATCAAGTCAAATATAATACAAAATAAATTAATAATTGGATGAAATCATAATATTATTTATCAATTAATCGATATTACACAAATATTTGATTTTATTTCATATATCCTAGTTTTATTTTACAAACTTTCTATCATATCTAAATTATATTTCGTATCATATTTCATTGTCTGATTTTATTGGATTGCAAGAATGTAATTTCTGTTTTAACTTCTGTATTATTATTTCCTTTTGACATTTGATAGATGTCACTTTAGCTTAGTTTAGAAGTAAATTTCGCTTAATTTTATTTGCAACGAAACTATCCGTTTCTGGAGTGCAAAAACGAACAAATTATTTCCGTAATAATTTGAAAGCAACTGAGACTTACAAAGAGATATGTAAATAATTGGTTTAAAAAAATCTTATCGTTTTGTACTGAAACTAAAATCAATTTTCGTATTTGGTGTTATTACCTAAGGATATGAATTACTAAAGTTAATAATCCATTTTAACCGTAAACCTATATTAGCGCAACTTTACGCTCACTGCATCATTTCAATTTTCATTTTCAAGGAATTAATGACCAATTATTTTATACGATTCATTGCTTCACCCATATTAAATTATAGAATTAATTGAAGCATTCTTAAAATACCCGTTTAATATTTTCTTTTTATTTCACTAAAAATAAATTGAAATATTTAATATTGAAATTTATTAGTGAATTTACTTTGCATCATTTAGAGCTCATATTTAGTTATTATAATAAATATTAGACGCTATATTTGATAATATAAGAGTCTAATGAATGGCATCAATGAAGTGCAGACCCGAACGAATAATTGGATTTCTATTTTATGAATGCAGTTTCTTACACTGAAATGAGCACAAATTTTAAGAAAGAATTTCACAAACGAAATTTATAAAGATTTCACAGCTAAAAAAGCATACGAGTTTGTGCAAATAATATAAATCAAGGTTCTTCAAAAGAAAGCTCAGTAGATAAGAATATTTTACTAGAAAGAAAAACGCTTTTCTGTGAAGAAGAAAATATTATTTTATAGTATTATTTCTATTGTTGGATGGATCTTTCTATATATTTATACGTATGGAAATTTGAAGAAAAGTACACTGTGTGTAGGTTTAATTTGTTTTATATCGTTTTATTTAAAGATTATATTCTAATTTCTAGGAAATGTGACCTAAAATATTATTATTAGTTATTGTTATTATAAAATTTTAGATATGCGTTTAATTAAAATGAAATCACTATTTCTTTTAACAAATTTAAATTATTTTTATATAATATTAAAAATAAACAAACTATATAAATGTTTGTCCTTTATTTTCATGCATATTTCTAAAATTTATATAATAAGAATAACAAAGTGTGTCTGAACGTGTGTATATGGGGAGGGGGCGGAATGAATGTGATTGCGGGGAAGGTAGAGCCCGCATGAAATAATTTTAGTCTCCTCCGATCGATTCAACTCATCGAACTCTGAAGCGATGTGCGCGTGTCACGCAAAAATACCCGCACGCACACACATTAATTCTCCCTTTCATTTTTGCGCTCATCCAGCTCGTGGAAATGAAACACACGATACGCACGATAACACATGAGAAGAATGCAAAAAAAAGAAGAATACACGACGCACAACAAAAGGCAATTTTAATTGAAAATATGTACACCGGTGGATGCGCCGGGTCTTATCAGCGGTTTACAGTTTCCATCCACCAAAGTTGTAGATCTCAATTTAACGCATCGGTAAAAAAAATAACTTACTGAATTCTATTTAATCTTATTTCAATGCTTAATTTCTGTAAATGTATAAAAAAAAACAAAAAAAATCTCTTCGTCTCTTAATTAACGTTTAAAATTTTAATTTATAAATGACGCAAGTGTGCATCGCACGATTAGAAATTTTCGGAGTGCACTCGAGCCGGTCTATTGATCTTAATTCATTCATCCACTAGTTGAGTTTGCATCGAGAGGATCTTGGATTCTCTCCTTAATTGCTAAATTCAAGCGGCAGAGCTGGTAATCGTCGGGGACCATTACAATAACTGGAATCAAGTTTACAAATGAATGACTCGATAATATATGTACGACGAGCGACCCGTGGACGTGGGTCGAAGGGGCACTTCCTTAACGAATCAAATTGTTGTGACCCAGCATCGATCCGGACCGCCCAAGAAAACCACAAACGCAGCTGCTGTAATTTATACGGCATCATACAGAATACTTCATTGAGTCTAATTCATTTCCGCTGCCTGGAGGAAAGTTTCCGGCGTCTCCGGATCGTTGCAATCGCAAAATACGAATGCGAACACGTCCAAAACACACTATGATATATTTTAAACAACAATCTTAATTAAACATCGTTGATGTATATTTTTTCATAAAAATTATTGATAATTTCGAATCTTGTTGTTATATTCAAAGACTAGCTTTAATAAATAGCTTTACTTTGTCTTCAACTGCTTTTACAGGCATTAAAGAACGTGGTCAATTTTTATCAACAAATTTGTCAAAACAAAATTTCAAAAATAAGACAAAAAGAAAACAACTCCAAACTTATTATTCATATTATTTTAGACACGTTGCTAAAATGATACTAATCATATTCTATTTGTCTAACAATTAATAGAAAACGTTTAAATCTAATTTTGAAGAAATATTAAATGAAACCTACCCATAAATTTAATATTTTACTTTAATTTATTTTCATAACTCCGATTGTCAACAATTATTTTTATAAAATTGTTTTTTATGGCTATATTTTTCTAATTGCATTCTGTTTATTTGCATTACAAATTATATTAAAATTTTACTTCTACTTTTTTTCCAATCATTCCTCTTTATATTTCATTATCAGTCTCGCAATAAAGTTACTAAATTTCCGAATCGGAGTTTGAATTACAACGTGTTCTTCATTCATATTACATACGTGTTTCACATCAGTTAGCCTGCACCTAAAATCACGTCCTTCTTGTACATTATTTTTATTTTGTTTTATTATATCTTGTACACGGGAACGCTTTCAATGGAAACGGCGTAAGTGGGTCAAGCGTTTTAGTGCAAGCAATCGAGCTCAAGATTGATCACCTTTGACCGATCGCACTTTATGATCTCGGAAACATTGTAACTCGAGAGATTTTCTAATATTATTACAACTGCAATGTCATCCAAAATAAAAAAAAATATTGATGAGAAATAGTAATATGTACGTATAATCTCTTTTAATGACTGGGATTAGTTGCTACAAGCTTGCAAATGAGTCCCATTAGGATAAGTTCTGGTAGAAGTGGAAGGTTTATAAACCAACCAAGACATATTAAAATTTAAGTTTCGAAGGGTTTAAGGTAGAATCTGCAAAGGGGAAACAAACGATGTTAAAGGCACGTCGCCAGGTATTAAAACAATTTAGACACACAACTTAAGGAAGGAGGAGTATCTAGCATGGGATCATTAAACATTCATATACGTTTTCATAGAACGTAGATATAACTTATTTTAAAATATTTATCTAATTAGTAGTAGTTTAACTATTTTTAAACTGGTTTCCTCCTGTCATAATCAATTAAAGCAGTTTATGTCATTGTATGAAACAATCTAGAAGGAAGTTATCATAATTAGATCATCTGTTTTATTTACACTCTTATATAAATGGACGTAAATATCAATTCAATTAATTTTCATATCCATTTCAAAATATATTTTTTTTAACAATTGGAAAACTTATGTAATATAATCCATGTATTTATATAAATGTTATTATTGTGTTCAAGCGCAATTTCAAGCATTTCTTGTGTATGTGGAATAATCGTGTATTGATTACAAAGTTTAAAACACTTCCACGTACGTTTGCAAACATATACGAATCAACATTTCTATGGTTTCAATTCGTAGCGGCTAATTGAGTTCCATTTAGTGCTTTATTTGAGTTGCTTTGATTCTAATCATAAATTGCTGCAAAACAAGAAAAACGTAAATCTCTGAAGATCCCTTATTTAAATTTATATAAAAGTTTCTACGTAAACATGTAATAAATTCCAGATTTTACGTAATTATTGAAATAATTTGATTTCCATTTTTTCTTCATAAATATTTCTTTGAAATTTTGCTCGTTTTGCAAGACAATGCGCTTTCGTTTTATCAAATCTTGTGCACATTATCAAAGAGAAAATTAACTATTCACAGAAGTATATTTTTTTTTACTTTTATTTCAATCGAAAGGAGCAAATAGATTTGGTAACTAATTTTAGATTTTAAATTTGTATTATATGTTATGTTATTATATACTATGAAATAATTTTAATTATAAAACTAATTAACTTCTTATTGAAAGAACATAAAATGTGTTTGAGCATCAAGAAGGAATATGGAAACAAAATCATATATAAATATACCAATACATCGCATAGTGCGGATTTACTAGTACGGTTTGAAAATTTAAAAAAAAAACTAAAGTTTAATTCAGCAATATTAATATAAATTCTTGTTTCTTTTTATGCGGTTTTAAAGTACTCAGTTAGTCCGGTTTCAAATGGTGCGAGACATTGGTGGGATCGACTATACGATATTGCTATATTGAATTTTACATCTTAAATATGAATTGAAATATTAATCATTATGAAAATGGTATTTATAAATAATATATGAATTGCATATTACTTATTAAATTTTCACAGTACAATGTATCAAATTAATACTTATTATATATTTCTAATATTCACCATTTAGATATTTAACTTTTTATTCAAATAAAGCAAAACTTTATTGAGTTTTAAGCCAGTTTGTATGAAAGCATTTTACTTATGATTATTTTCAAAATTTAAAAAATATATTTATTATGGTTCTGCATATAATGATTTTAATCATTATCTTCAAAATGTCTCAAATCATTGTTGTTTCATTTGATATTTTTCTTAGAAGTATACCAGAAAATCACTTTAATCAAAAAGTTTTACAACTCGGCCATGGCCATTTCTGTATAATATTTAATAATTTACACATGGCCAATTTAAAATTGTTTACAAAAGTAAACAAAAGGAACATGAGAGAGAAAACAATCAGTATTTTTGATTGAAAGAAACGTTTTTGAAGCTTTTAACTTTCTCGCAAAATAATTGGTGTAGATAAATAAGTAAATTCTTTTCACTGTTGGTCTTAGCGTTTTTACGTTTCTATAATGTTCTTCAAAAACTACATTATTGCATATTTTTCTTAACAAATAAGTAAAACATATTATGAGTAGGAATTATAACAGTAAAATACTGAAATAGTTGGCCATAAATTTGAAATTAATTTATTATTACAATTCATTATTTTCGAATTTTTCATAGATATTGACATATTATGATTTAAGAATAGTTTACAAATAAATATAAAAAATAATAATTAGCATAATATAATAATTATGTATTTATTTCTTTCATTTATAATTATAATCCAATTATTGTGGAATAAATTTACAAAAAAAAATATCAACAAATATGCATAGACTTTATATTTATTTCGAGAAATGTTCACATATTTAAGGATTTTAATTTATATTAATGTATTATTTTAAATAGTAATACATGACTTTCACATACAATAATGTTTGCGAGGTTTATTTTTATTGGGAAATGCCAAGACTTGTTCAGATTCATTGATAAATAATAAAGGCATAAAGATTTTCCGGGCAATTTATATTATTATAATTATTTAGAATGGAACTGTAAAATTATTATGAAATGTTTTTCAATGTACGATTAAGGTGTAAAAGTAAGACAGTTTCGTGATCGCTGATCGAATGAGACGAATTTCCGAGCAATGAAAAGCGCGGCGGGATATTCGATTAGGAAATAAGCAGAGTCGGAAAACGAGCTCGGAAATGGAATTAGTTTGGATTGTTCCCTTTTTTACTCGGTCCGCTTGTAAACATTCTGGGGATTGTTTAAGGGATGCTTGATATAAGAAGAGCGTGCGTGTGCGTTGAGGCTGGTGGCCGGCGGCGGCAGCGGCGGTGGCGGTGCTAGTAATCGATGCAGCGGACCCCTCGTCTCTGCGGGGGCGGCCAAACAACAAATTCACTCGTTCATACAGATACACATACGCCACCACAAACTACCTAGTTTCAAAACAATTATACGATTTGTATCCAAGACTGGAGTGGACACTCACCTTATGCGCTACATCCTGGTGGCATGCCATAATAACAGTAATGCCTCATCCTCATCGTCCGAACGCACATAATTTAATAACACTTACGGTCTCAGTCCAAGACATCAACGTTATCAAATTCATTAAATGTTTAATTTTAATGAGTACCAACTACCACCTCCACGGCTGCCGCGTGTTACGCTTCTCGAATTATATCATTTGACTGTCTTGTCGTGTCTGCTTCTTGTGATTTAATGGTGGAGGTGCAACTTTTCGCGAGTATATGGTATCAGCGCTGCTTGTCGAATATTCGGGTGCGTGTGCGATATTTATGCTATATGAACGAAAACTTCTTCAGTCTGAGTATAAATTGAGTGTGTTTGCCAATGTTCTCTTTTGTTGATGTTGTAAATGCTAGTGAGGGTAAGTAAGGTGTTCTTCTGTAGTATACGAGCGTGGCGAGAGAGTATGTTGTTGTATGATGTTTGTTGTATGTGAAAATGTGTGGGTGCACTGAGGTCCTCCGGTGGCACCAAAGGCGTGGACTGTCCGGGTTGGCGCCGATGGCACCGACATTCCTCCCACCACGCTCGGCAAGGGCCGGCGGAGCACCGGGCCCTGTAGGACACGCGCATGGTCCTCATTGATTTTACACGCCACGCTCAGACCTCGGCTCAGCTCTCTCTTCCTTCTAGCCACCAATCCACCCCTCGCATCCCGTGTTACACCCCGACAATACTTTATCTCTCTCTATCCCACATATATATACACCCATCATTATTATTTCCATCCACAGTGAAAAAGATCATCAAACTTACGTACTCTTTAAATCGTTTACCTTTTGAAAGGTTACTCAGACCCAGCGCATACAAACGTAACTGCTACTTACTAACTCCTTCCATTGTAAATAACAAATCTATTATATTATTAATGCCCTAGTCTTTCTGCTCACTATTTTATTAACAAATTTGTAATTGGAGCTTTCAATCAAGACTATTCTACTATTCAGTTATTTATTTAGTTCAATTTAACCAGCCATAACACAAAACGTAAAGAAAATATGTATAGTCAATGTTTTCGTCACCTACATATTTTATATTCATTTAAATTTGTCGAAAGAGAATTTGACATGTTATAAAATGCCTAAACAATGTGCAAACTCATCATTCTTAGAGATACAATGACATATGTAAGTTGCAGTTTATAAAATAATCTCTTTAAATTTTCTGCACAATTATGCACTACTATTTTTAGGAAATAGGAACTTTAACGAGTGTACGTAGATTGTGTTTGCCAGGTTGGCTTCAATCTCTTATTTTTAATTGACTTATAAAAGAAATACTGGTTGTTATTCCTTATTAACTAATGCTAAAGATAGTACAGTAAGAGCACGTTTCGCACTTCCTCGATTAACGCTGATTTGATGTAATGCGGACAATCACTTAATGTGATTTTCTTTAATGTTGTTTTGTTTAACACGTGTCGTCCAGCAACGTATTCTAATCGCTAAACGAGGTCTTCCTGTATTTAGATATTAAGCTCTGAAAACTCGACCATGAAATGACAATTCCAAGGACTAATAGGAGAAGAATCAACCTAGGCAATTTATACAAAAAATAATCTAGGATAGTCTAGGCGCACTTAAATTACAATGATGTTTTCTTTTTAATATTTACATTTATTTTGCTTTGGAAAATAGTTTAATACAAAATTCCTCAGCACACCTAACATAATGAAAATCACTAATTTCATTATTATTATTGGTATTGTTTATAAAAAGTCTTCTTCTGACGATCTAAAATGCAACAATTAAATAGATATGAACATTATAACTTCTAAATTCTAAAGAAATATAGCGGATAAATGTTAATTTAGGTATCAATTATTAATTATCTCCGTATTTACGTTGATTATTTCATTTTCAATTTTTTGCTTTCTTTACTTTACGTCAACTACCGTTTTGAACTTTTAGAAGAGAAAAACAATACTTCTGTTATTACACAAATTTAATCAAGATATGAAATCAATTACCTTACAATCTCGAGAATAATAAACAATATAAAAAACGAGGGAATACGAATCCTGGATGTTTTATAAATGTATGAAAATCTAACATTAGGTCTTGATAATATATGCTGCGATGTAGTAATACCGCCCAGCCCTTTTATTAAAACTGACAAAAAGGTTATTCAGAGATTTTTTTCTGCTATAAAAATAACTGTTATAATTATTTCCATTGAATACAATAAATAACATGCAAACTTTTACATATAATATATATTAATCAAATCTTATATAATAACTATAATATACATTTTATATATTTACTTTTGCTTTTTACGAGCATATTTCTTCTAAATTTATTATAATTTACAATTTTATTAAATATGTATGTTATACGGTTCTTCAGAATTAGTTTTAGAGCTTTATTGCATTTTACTAAAGTAGTAAACAATTTTATTTCTTCCTACAATTCGATTCAATCAATATCAAATTAATATTTATCTATTCTAACAATACAATATTGTTGTAAGATATGCGTATCATTATTTAAATTAAACATATAATAAATAATATTATTTAAATAGTATATTTTCAACAGTTGTGTCGGCCTTGTGTTAAATATTTCAAGTAATCTAAATTATTTTACATGTAATTGCTCAAATACAATAAGGTAGTACAAATGTATATATATATATTTAGTATTGTTTCTGAAACTAATGTCTAAAATAGACTTTTTCAATATATTTAAGAAAAACTCTGGCTATATCTTCATAAAATTATTTATAAAATAATTGTGCTGGAATATTGAAATTATTTAATTTGATAAATATATACATAATTTGTTTAATCTGATACTATACATTATTTTTGTTATATACAGTAAACCCTCCTATAACCTAGTATTCTCATAATGCGGTTTCTATATAATACTACTTACTTATTCTAACTGTACATCATTAACATAACGACTGTTCAAAGAAGTTATCAGAATTATAAATAATTATTTTTTATTTTAGATTGCCTTAAAACTTCATGTTCAAAACTGAAAATGAAATCTTACACTCGGATATTTAATAAATATCTTCTCGTTTAAGTAGCGATTTGTAGAAATATATCATAAAGATTTAGATGAAATACAGATATCCCCCGACTTACTAAATAGTTCCGTTCCAAATGGTTATTCGTAAGTCGTTTTTACTTTTATATATGATGTAAATTCCGTATTACTGATTGCATAAATTTGAAAAAATAGATTAAAATAAACAAAATTACTTACAAATACTTTTCAATGTAGACATCACAATTATTTAATAAAAAAACGAAACAATAAAACAGATAGTATATCTTCCAAAAATATTATATTTTATTAAAAAAATTATCAATTTTTGTTTGGACAGTTAATTTTTTAACACTATATATCTCCTTGTAACAAGTTAGAGCTTTTAGAATTTTGTTCGTAAGTCCGGGAGTTCGTAAGTCGTAAGTAAAAATGGGATTAGATTTGCGTAAACAATTAAAATAAGATTTTTATAATATAGTATGAATTAATCTGATTTGTACTAATTCTAAATTTCTTATAACACGGTTTCCATATTATATTGTCCTGAAATTCTTAATAATAATAATTTCTTGGTCAAAAAAATATTACATCAAAACATACATTGTAATTTTTAAATCAAATCAAAATAAATACATCTGGTCAAAAGGATAATATATATAAAGAATCTAACTAACCTCATAGTAATTTTTGTTTGTTCTATTATAATTAAATAGTAAAATAAGGGGTCAAAAATTACAAAAAAACTAAATGAAATGGATTTTTTTAGCTGCATTAAATGTTTAATATTTAGATTATAATTTAATAATCAAGACTGATATAATGTGCAGTGTGTACGTGAAGCGACAAGTTTGCAGCGCATTTGGTGTTTGCGTCTAAATGTGCGACGGACTGGTTAATTGCTCTGATCAAAATGACACAACCACACGCGTCCACCGAAACGGAAAGTAAATCTAAAAATTATAAACCATAAAAGTGACAGTACATTACATCCATATAATATGTTTTTCTAGGTAGTAGGACATTTGTCTCCAGTTGTTATTGATACGAAAAGCACAAAATAGCAAAACTAATGATCTCTTCCTGATTGGAATTCCTACTTCTAGATTAATTTCTTGAACATCTACAACAGTTTACCATAAATATACGGTTACCATTATTTTTCGTAAAAAGCTGTTAATAAATGGACTCACCTTTAAGAATATACTATAATCAGATTAGTGTTTTGTTATAAGATTTAATCACAAAATTGTAGTGTTTAACAATGTCGCAAATAATAAATAGCAGCAAAACTAAACCCGTAATTTTGTCGACGTTATTCGTCGAAATTTTAAATATTGCATTTCGAAAGCAATCCGCGCGATAAAGCTGGCACGCGGCAAGCATGTAAAATAAGAGAATGCGACTGCCTTTCATTATGTCTCGCGAAATGTATAGACGTTAATAAGCTGATATGTAGTAGTAGTAGTAGTAGCACATGAATACTGATATAATTCCGCGTGGAAATTATAACAAAAGTCTCAGCAGAAGCGGCGGTTGCTTTTCAGATTTGTTTAGGTCTCAGGCATTTTTCTATGCGAAATAATATCCGAGCATGACGTACTCCACTACAATTCATCTAACAGTGTAAATAGTATGAGTAGTATTGGTGGTATAGTAATAGTCGTCGGCGAGCTAAAAGCGCGATCTCCCTCTCTCGCACGGTCTCTCATCGATTCCGATTCAGTTTTAGTTTCCTCCTCGTGTCAGGACGCGACAAAAGGATGATAACATTCGAGGAAAGCCCGTTTCCTCGTACAATGTAATCGCTAAACTATTATTCCCCCATCATTATTATTACCTGCCCTTATTATTAAAGCGACTCGATTTGATTCCATTTCACCTCTATAAATAAACCCACGCTGAAAACGGAACCAAACTTGCACAAATACCTCCTCGCACAGCATTTACACATTCATATTCGAAGCGATGAAATATCAAATCTGCACGCCGTCGTGTATGGTCGGTGTATTCGTATTTATGTTCTCAATAATATAACAAGTACTCCATTGTTTTCACAGGGTAAACCAAATATAGATTGCATAAGCCTGAACAATTCAGACAAGTCACACGTCCACTTATTTGCTACCTTCTTAAGATATCCCATAAAAGTTCTATTTTTTTTTAAGAATTGCTTTCGATTATGATTATACAATTCTAGTATCTTGGTGAACATTTTCTGAAAGATAACATTATCACATTACTATTATCCTTTATGAATTTACCTGAAATATGCAATTTTTTTTTCAGCATTTACTTCTCCAAATATTTTGAAATAATTGAAAGCCAGTAAAACACCATTTTGACCCAGTCAGAATTAAGTATACATGCAAGTTGGTATACATAAATTCTAAGCCCGACCTAGACTAAAGAATATGAACTGAATACTGCTGGTATAAGTTATGTTGATAATAAAAAAAAATATCTCCAAAAAATCCTATATTAAAGACAATAAACTATGTAAATTAACTTTAGCTGTGTACTATTCCAATAATGAAATTAAATATTTAGCTT